TTCCTTTAATTATGGTTGGAAGTATAGGCACACATCCATTCCATGAAACCAGCCATTACCTTCCAACGTGTGATTAGAGAGTGAAATACAGAGGCCTGCTTCATTTGTCCAGAACCACAAAAAGAAAGTTGACAAAGCGGTGATGCTCAATATAGATCAATGAAAGTTGAACTCTCCTTTTTTTTTTTTTGCAGAGGACTTCAGCATCACTTGTCTTCAAGTCCTGGGACACATTTAAAGCATTCTGATAAGGAGTCAATTTAACCATTCACACTAGAACTACATGGAACTACTGCAAGATCAAACAGTGAAGTCTAATGAGCAAGAGATCTCAGTAAAGGAGGCTTTGAAACAGTTAGAGCTTCTATTGTAATATGGTGATTATATTTAAATGGGGATCACAATTCATGCTCAATTAATTATTAAAGCACTCAGATTTCCAATATCTGAGTGATTTAACAGTCTTTCAGGGGAAATAAAATGCTTCCTCCACTGAACCTGTTCCATTTTCTATGTATCCTTCTTAATTGTAGCAACCAGAACTGGAAATGGTACATTTGAAGAGCTCTGACTGGTACAAAATAAAATGGAACCATTATTTCCCATGATTTAGAAACTGTAGTTGTATTAATGCAGCTGCAAAACATTCACTCTTTTTGCAGATGTATCACAGTGTTTAGAATTAAGACTAGAAGCTTATTGCTTGGGGTTTTAAACTGAATCAAGTCTCCCGGGCTGCAGCTGGGAGGTGGGGATTATCACATGCTAAATCGTCACCGAATTGCTGGCCGCCATCAGCCCGGGTCCCAGACGGGTTCAGCCAGCACTTTTTAAAAATTGGAATGCTTTCTGGTTTCTAAAAAGTGCTGGCTGAGCCCGGCTGGGATCCAGGCTGATGGCGGCTGGCAATTTGGCAGTGAATTAGCATGTGATAATCCCAGGCTCCATCCTGCCTCCCGGTTGCAGCCCGGGAGGCTTGATTTGGTTGAAAACCCCAAGTGATAAGCTCCTATATAGATCTATGTGCCATAAATAATAGAGCATGACTTTACAGCTGTCTATTTTTTGATGTAAAAAAATGCTGCTCATCACTTACTACTGCATTATGTTTTGCTGTTCTTATCTATAACAAAAATAAAAATAAACTGCAATCCAGTACACACCTATCCAAAAGTAAGCTGTACAAAAAACAAATGGACTTACATTTTAGAATATATGTATAAAATTAACCATAAAATTGCCTTTGTTTTCTTCTGAAGAATGCAATTATAGTTAATTATAATGCAAGAACATCTTATTACACTTATTACTATGAGCTAACCTCAGTCTGTTTAGTCTCTAAGAAGGGTTGTGCAGGAATGTGGAACTATTTAAAGCAAATTTATGAGCTATTCAAATAGATAGCGTTGAATCTAGACATATTAGTCATACTGCATTGTCCACTCTGGGTAAGTGTTCAGCTTTACGCAAATGATAGTTAGAATCATAGAAGCATAGAGTTGGAAGAGACCTCAAGGGCCACCAAGTCCAACTCCCTGCCATGCAGGAATGCACAATCAAAGCAACCCCAACAGATGGCCATCCAGCCTCTGTTTAAAACCTCCAAAAAAGGAGACTCCACCACTCTCTGAGGCAGGGGTAGGCAACCTTTCCCCTTTAAGGGCCAAGGGACTTCAGCTCCCAGAAGCCTCAGCTATGTTGTCCAATAGCTCCTGGGATTCTGGGAGCTGACGTCCCTTGGCCCTTAAAGGGGAAAGGTTGCCTACCCCTGCTCTGAGGGATTGTGTTCTACTATTAAACAGCTCTTACTGTCAGGAAGTCTTTCCTAATGTTTAGGTGGACACTCTTGTCCTGTTGTTTGAATCCATTGCTCTGGGTCCTATTTTGCGGAGCTGCAGAAAACAAACTTGCTCCATCCTCAATATGACACCCCTTAAAATATTTAAACAGGGCTATCATGTCACCTCTTAACTTTCTC